CAAATTCTAGTCTTTTCCATCAGAGTAGAAGCTATTGACCAGCACATGTCAGAGATTGATGGACATCAGAGGAGGTGGGCCCAGGATGGAGAAAGGCTTTATAATCTGCCTTGAGACTGGTCCTATTCGCTTTAACTGGGTGGAGCCCAGGAAAGTAATAGGCAGAAGGCATATATGCAATAACAGATGTCTCTGCTTCACAAGATTTATAAAGATTTTCTTTTCTAATATTTCTGATTTAATCCAAGAATTCTCTGTCCCACCAAATTATCACCGGGCCTTGCAACATCTCTTCTGACTGAAGTTATATGGGTAGGTCCTAAGAGTTCTCTTCTTGGGGAAATGTTTCTTTGGGTGGGTCATTTGGGGCAGACACACTGTGAAACCAGTTTTCTTGTGCACCTCCTTTTTATATCCACACGGGGGCTGAGTGTATGGGTGTGAGTTGCTGGGTGTAAAGCTGGTAGTAAGGGTGCCACCCTGCCAATGAGGGCAGAGCAGGAGACCTGGTAAAAAGATGATGATAGGAATCTCTGGCCATGGGGTGGGGAAATGTAATCACTGGCATGAAAAGGGTGGCAGTAGCTGTAAAACTGGTCCCCTCCACCTTCCCAATGATTCCATCCTCTCCTATTTTTCTGATCTCTTGTTCTAGTAATTGTAGCCTCTCTGGCATGTATTTAATTTCCCATTGGTACTGGTTCCTTCCTCTCATCCTCCAGGTAAACTCAAGATTTCCACTCCCCCTAAAAGAGCTTCCTTGATATTTGCCTCCCTCTTAACTTACTACAATATAGCTTTGGCCCCACCCAGCCTCCACTACTCCCTGCCCTTCTGCTGAAACTGCCCTCTCTAAGGTCACCTTTGAGCCAATTGCCAAATCCATTCCTACTTGACTTTTCTGCAGCTTTCAGTACCATTCACCATCTTTTCCTTCCCTTGCTGGGATTCCAGGATATAATTCTCCAAGTCTTCACATATGTCACTGAGTGCTCTTTCTTTCTCTGCTGGCTACCCTATCTCTAGTATTCTTTAAATGTGTCCCTCTCCAGGGCTAAAAGGTCACCATGTTCTGATTGGGCACCGTCCTGGGCCAGGGTGCAAGGCTTGGCAAGCAGAGCCTGGATTTCAGCCCCATCTCAGCCCACTCAGCTCCCTGCCTTAGTGCATGAGCACCCTGCACAACTGTACACTGCAGCCCACAAGCCTCATCTCTTCTTACTCTGTGCACTTTTCCTCTGCAATCCTGTGGACTGTTATGGCTCCAACTATAACCTAAGTGTCTTACCTAAGCTATAGACATCTTTTATCGACATTCTGGACTCCTCTTCCAGGGTGTCCTGTGGGTACCCCCAACTTGACATGGCCCAAGCTGAATTGATTATTTACACGCTCTCATACTCTCAAACATGCCTACTCTTCTGTATTTCCTGTCTTGGTTAAAAACCATCCAACCTCTCATTCAGCTGAAATACTCAAGATTATCTGTGCCTCCTCCCTCTACAGTTTAAGGCTTTCATCTGCTTCCTAAAATACTATTGGAATAGCCTCCTAACTATCTGGAGATAGTTTCCCTATCTCCAGAATCTCTCCCCGCCAAACTGCCTTCCCCACTGCCACCAGGCTTCTTTCTTTACATAGATACGAGCATACTGTTCCTCTGATTAAAAACATATTTTGGCTTCTAATTACCTATAGGATAAAGTCCGGATGCCCTAGCATCGCATATAAAGCCTTTCATATCCTGGCCCAAACCTACCTTTCCAGTCCTACATCTTGCCACTGCTCCCAACACGTTCCTTGCTCTTAACCACATTAGACTATGATAAAGCTTCTTAACCATGTTTTTGCTGTCTGCTTTAATGTCTCTTTGTCTTTGATGGTGCCTCAACTGTAGTTCTGTTTCTTCACCTTGCAATAAATACCCCATCCAGACTTCAATATGATGCTTACTTGTTAACCTCTTTAAGAAGTTTTTTTCAGGCACCTCTCAATCTGCTCCTTGCTTCTGCAGCATTTCAAACAAACAAACAAAAACCTAAACTCACTGCCATCAAGTTGATTCCAACTCACAGCAACCTCTTTTGGGTTTCTGTGGCAGTTAATCTTTACGGAAGTAGATTGCCCAGTCTTCCTTCCACTGAGTGGTTGGTGGGTTTGAACCGCCAACCTCCTGGGTTAGCATTCAAATGCTTTAGGCACTACGCCACCAGTAGTATCCTAATATAGATTACCTAAAAGTTGTTTTGCATCTCTTTCTCACTACATTGTGAGTTTTTTAACAGCAAGATTAAGCTTTGTTAGTCTCTATATCAGCAGCAGCTACCCCAGAGACCAGTACATGATAGACATTGAATAAAATATTATGAATTCTATGTGTTGAATTGGGAGCCCTGGTGGTGTAGTGCCTGAAGCATTTGACTGTTAACCAGAAGGCTGGCAGTCCAAACCCACCAGTCACTCCTCAGAAAGAAGACTGGGCAATCTACTTCTGTAGAGATACAGCCTCGGAAACCCAAGGAGGGGTCACTATGAATTGGAAATGACTGATGGCAGTGAGTTTGGTTTTTTTAATGTGTTGAATTGGAGCCCTTGGGGGAAGCAAGCAGTTAAGAGCGCTTGATGACCAGCTGAAGGGTAGTTTTGAACCCACTCAGAGGTGCCTTGGGAGATGGGCCTGGAAATCTGCTTAGAAAAGGTCATGGCCTTGAAAACCCTATGGGGTGCAATTCTACTCTGCAGATGCGGGGTCACCATGAGTCAGAATCCACTGGATAGCCACAAACAACAGCACCTGTGCTGAATTGGGCAACGTTCTTGAACATCATTTTGTGAAAGGGCTAATGATTTCTTTCAGCATAACTGTTCATGCTACTCCTTTTCTTCAGATGAGGAGAACATCTCAGAATATGGTGATTGATGGGTCCTTTTGGAGATGATTGTTTTTATCATATCCTTAAACAGTAGCTAGGTTTCTCTAGGGACACAGAGACTGATTTCTCAAATGACAAATTGGCATTTGAGTGTGGATTTTTCCAGATATCAGTGTTCCTTAGAATCAATGATGATTTTCAATTTAGGACCTATTGTTGTTGTTGTTGTTGTTATGTGCCGTCAACTCAGCCTGGACTCATAGCGACCCCTCCTTGGGTTTCCGAGGCAGTATCACTAAGGAAGTAGATTGCCCAACCTTCCTTCTGAGGAGTGGCTGGTGGGTTTGAACCGCCAGCCTTCTGGTTAGCAGTCAAGTGCCTTAGGCACTGTGCTACTGGACCTAGATTCCAAATTCCACAGAAGATTTTTTACTGTTGTGAGTAGCAAAGTCAGGGTTTTTGGTGTTAAAGCAGATAGGTTTGTGTTTACGACCTCTCGGTTCCATGATAACACCTTACCAACAGTTGAGATTTCAGGACATGAAAGGGTTTCACTACCCCAAAATCTTGCAAACAGGGTTATCTTGAAAGCCTAGGAAGAGAGCTATCATTTGCCAGTTTTGCGGAGGGCCTGGCAAAATAGAATGTGATGCATAAGACCTCTATCACTCCCCTTAGTTCAGCCCCTCAGTGTGTGCTGGGCTAGCAAGGAGGCACTCAGAGACTTCGTGAAGCCCAGGATGGATACCACTCTTGAAGTGTTATTGTGGTTAGTTGCCGTGGGTCAGTTCTGACTTATGGCAACCCCACGTACAATACAATGAAACGGTGCCAGGTCCTGCACCATCTTCACAATGCTTAAGCCCATTTCTGTGGCCATTCCAACAACCTAGGGGCTCATCTTCCAGCACTTGGTTGTTGCTGTTGTTAGTTGCTGTCCAGGCAATTCTGACTCCTGGAGACCCCATGTGTGCAGAGTAAAGCTGCTCTATACTGCAGGCTTTTCAAGGCTGTAACCTTTTGGAAGCAGATTGCCAGCCTGTCTTTTGAGGAGCCTCTGGGTGAGTTGGAGCTACTAACTCTTCAGCTAGTAATAGAGCACTTAACCATTGTGCCACCCAGGGACTTCAAGCACGATGTCAGTCAATATTCTATTGTGACCCATAGGGTTTTCACTGGCTGATCGTCAGAATAAGATCACCAGGTCTTCCCAGGCTATTTTAGCCTGGAAACTCCACTGAAACCTGTCTACCATGGGTGACCCTGTCGATATTTGACATACCTGTGACATAACTTCCAACATCATAGTAACACTCAAATCACCACAATACCTCAAATCAAGCAGATGTATATTTGTAGAACTATACTAGTAGTTGTCGGAAGGGGCCAGTTCCTGGAGAGGGATATGCTTGGTAAAGTAGAGGGGCAGCAAAAAAAGGGGAAGACCCTCCACTAGATGGATTGATGCAGTGGCTGTAACCATGGGCTCAAGCAGCAGCAGAGATTGGAGGATGGTGCACCACCCGGCAGTGTTTTGGTCAGTTGTACATAGGGTGGCTGTGAGTAGGAGCTGACTGGACAGCACCTAGCAACAACAAAAACAAGCAGTTGCTTGGGAGTAGGTGCTAGAGAGGTTGGTTCACATTGCTCCTTAAATACAAGAACCTGGTTCTGGTTAGAATGCAAACAAGTTGCCATTGAAAATGCAGTGATTGGTTAGCAATAGATGCTTATAAGAAGAGCTTTGGGAGATTGTGTGTGTGTGTGCGTGACATAAGCACCCTGTTTAATTACGGGACCCCTCAGCTCTGTCCCCAACACTAGAGTGTGTATTATCTGGAACCAACCTGGAATGCTTCAGCTCCCTCCCAGGATCGAGGTCACAGTTGGCTGAGAGCGCCGGCACCGCCCAGACAGCACCGGACCACCCTGCAGGAGGTGGCGGGAGCTGCAACAGCAGCTTCGGGTCAGGCCCTGAGCGAGGGCGCCGACCCGGCTCCCGGCGTAAATGAGGCCGCCCCCTGTTGGCCCTCCCCGGGGCGGGGCTCGCCCCTACGGCGCTGACTCAGCAACGCGAGGGGGGTAGTTTTGTCCCTCCGCGGACCCCGTTTCTGTTGGCTTCAGCCTCTCCGCCACCACCGAGCCGGTTTCCTCTTTCCGGCGTTCCGGGTGAGACAGGCAGGTCGGGCCGCCTAGGCAGCGATCCGCAGTGCTATCCCGGCGCTCGCCCGAAGACCCGGAAACTACCGTTACTTCGCTGGGCAGTGTGGCGCCATGAACAACGCGGGTGAGGCACTGCTTTTCCCCGCCAGATCCCTGCCGGGGTCCTCCCGGGGACGCGGCTCGGCTCGAGGCCTCGCAGCGGGGAAGGGCGGGTGCTGGAGTCCGGGCTGATGGTGGTGGGGATGGAGCTGGAGTGGAGCATCCTGGAGGGACACAGCGTCTCGGGGGAGGCCGCCGCTACAGAGGTCACCTCGGGATGCTCTCACAAAGTTAGACCGGGGATGTGGGAGACCCAGGCAAAGAAACGTCTTGGAGAGTTTTTTTGGTGTTAAAATCCCGTTTGGCTTTCCAGCAGGACTGAATTCCGAGAAGGTAGCTGCTCTGATTCAGAAATTGAATTCCGATCCTCAGTTCGTACTAGCCCAGAATGTCGGGACAACCCATGACCTGCTGGACATCTGTCTGAAAAGGGCTACGGTACAGGGCGCGCAGCATGTCTTCCAGCACGTTGTGCCTCAGGAAGGCAAGCCGGTCACCAACCAGAAGAGCTCAGGTATTGGAAGAACTTGTAAATTCCTAGAAAACGGACACCAATAACGTTATCCCTTGTTTGGGTGCTCCTTGGCTGGTTAGCGCTTTTCGGTTTGAGCGCTGAAGTGACAAGTCCTTGGCTTGAGTATAATTTATTATCCCGTCTGGAAGTTAAGTGATTGCAGTCACCTGTCTTGCACATACATGCTTTGGTCACAAAACAGGCTACATGAAAATGAATATTCTAAAGGCCTTATACAAGTGTATGAAATAGAAAAGGCATGTGTAATTGCAACAAATTGTCATCAGAATGTTACTGTAAAAAATGTTTCTTGGTTACAACTTAAGCTCTGAGCTGATGGGCTCCGTTCCCCCACACCCCATAGGGCCAGTTTGTAATAGAGGGAAATTTTCAGTTCTCATGCCTTACTGTTTTGCTATCTACTGTCTAGCACCATTGTCAGAAAAACAACTACAGTGAAAGACTAGGCAATCAGAAATCTAAATAAAGGAGGACAACCTCATAATCAAATTGTACTAAAAGAATTTTTTAAAGTCATTATCCATTTCACAAATCACCTCCAGAAAGCAGATCGCTTGCTTTGGGCAGTCAAAACTCATAATGTGCACGTTTAACACGAGAATGTTTTTTTATGTGTAAGTTATACCTCAGTAAGTTTGATTTTTTAAATTTTAAGGGTTGAAAATCATGGCCTTGCAGTAATTAATGTTTTGCTATAGTAGGTGTGCTTGGGGTGGTGTGGCATGCTGGGCTACAAGTGACTCAGTAATGTCACAATGGTTGTGCTATGTAGTTAATTTACAGTGAGTGACCTCTTAGTTGTTGTTGTTGTTGTTATGTGCCGTCGAGTCGGCCCCGACTCATAGCGACCCCTCCTTGGGTTTCCGAGGCAGTATCACTACGGAAGTAGGAATGCCCAACCTTCCTTCCGAGGAGTGGCTGGTGGGTTTGAACCGCCAGCCTTCTGGTTAGCAGTCAAGTGCCTTAGCCACTATGCTACCAGAGCTCCCCTGAAATGTTAATCTGGAACAGGTCAGGTCTTGCATGTTCTGTAGTGTTGCTTTTATATATAAAAGAGCCAAACAGCACATGAGCTGTGTACTTTGTTTTTTTCATTTTTTAAAACTTTTATTGTGGTGAAAACATCCACAACAAGATGTTCTCCAACATAACAGTTTCCCCATTTACAGCTGAGGGACATTGATGACATTTTTCATGTTGTGCCACCATTATTGCTATCCTTTTCCAAAATATTCCACCACCATTAGTATAAACTCAATGCCCCCGCAAACAAAAGTTTCCCCTTCCTCCTACCCCTGGTAACCACTAATAATCTTTGGTATATGTATGTATTTTTTCCCCCCAACCTATCTAGGAATTTTGCCTCCTTTTCCCTCCCATCCCTGGTAACCAACAAAGAAAGTTTCCTTCCATGTGTAAACTTTTCCTTGACTTTTTACAATAGTAGACTAATACAATACTTGCCTTTCTGTGATGGACTTATTGCACTCAGTATAATGTTCTCCAAGTTCATCCACGTTAATGTGGTTTTTGATAATATTATTCTTTAGGGTTGCATAGTATTCCATTGTGTGTATGTATCACAGCTTATTTATCCATTTCTCAGTTGATGGGTACTTAGGTTATTTCCATCTCTTTGCTATTGTGAATAGTACTGCAGTGAACATAGGTAGCTATGCACTTTATTTTCATGTAGTTTTCAGATGAACAGTTCATCCAGATTCCCTCCATTAAAAATATGTAGTAGACAGGAGAGGTAAACCCAAGTAAAAATAAACTATACTAAGGCAGGCCGTTAGCAACTTTGAAAAAACATTGTAGTTAGTTACTTAAAAAAAAATTTTATTATACAATTATTGTTAAATTAGAATACTTGAAAAATTCTGTCAGACAAATAATACCACCCAGAGATAACATTTTTTTTATGTACACATTAAAAAAAAAAACAAGCTCATTGCCAGCAAGTCGATTCCAACTCATAGTGACCCCCATTGGGTTTCTGAGGCTGTAAATCTTTATGGAAGTAGATCACCCCATCTTCCTTCTACAGAGCAGCTGGTGGGTTTGAACCTCTGACCTTCTGGTTAGCAGCCAAATACCTTATCCACTACACTATCAGAGCTCCTTATATATACATTAGGTCTTTATTTTATGTGTGTGTGCATGTACGTATGTACTTGCATAATGTGGATTGATACTTTACATATTGTTTGGTAACCTACCTACCTTTTCCACCTACCAAGTACATTGTGAACATATTTTCATATCAGTAAAAAAGTTATACCCAAATAACTTTTAAGGCAAAGTTTAATTTTCTTTAAAATTTCTTTCTTTTGAATTTTCCTTCAGAAAAGAGAGTAACCTTTTAATTGAGGCCTTACAAAGACTTATTATGGTCAATCTCAGTTTATTTTGAAACAAAGTACAGTTTGGCAAGGACAGTCTGAAGTGACCTCAATCTGTGTTTGTTTGGATACTTACAGAGTATACTTACAGAGATGTTGTTGTTGTTGTTATGTGCTGTCGAGTCAGCCCCGACTCATAGCGACCCCTCCTTGGGTTTCCGAGGCAGTATCACTACGGAAGTAGGATTGCCCAACCTTCCTTCCGAGGAGTGGCTGGTGGGTTTGAACCGCCTTACAGAGATAGAATCGGTTTTTTTAAAAGGTGAATGTTTTGAACACAGTATATTTCTAGGACATGACCTCACAAGTTGAAATGTTGGATATCATTGTAAATAGGTCTTTTAAAGATCACTTAAATAAGTATGGGAGCTCTGGTGGCATAGTGCCTAAAGCATTTGACTGCTAACCAGAAGGCTGACAGTTCAGACTCCTTGGAAGGATGACTGGGCAATCTACTTTCATAGAGATACCACCTCAGAAACCTCAGGAGGGGTCGCTATGAGTTGGGACCGACTCCAGTGAGTTTGGTTTGTTTGGTTTTAAATCAGTACAGGGAATGGTGACATTGTAGAGATTGTCTTTATCCATTTGCAGGACAAATGAAGAATGTTCTTATGTATTTCAGGCTTGGCATAAAATTTTCAGGGACAACATGATGCGTGGCTTCAAAACATTTCTGTGTTTCAAACATACTAGATGGAAGAAATAGATATACCTGTTAGATGATTGAAAATGGATTTAATGATGGGAGAAGCCCTGATGGCAAGATGCGTGTGAGGCGTATGAGTAAGGGTGTTTAATGAAATGTGAAAGTGGGAAAAAACAATGTTTCTAAATCAGTTTACTGTGTTCGCGTGGTTTTAAAAATGTGTGTGCTTTTAAATTACTAAATTAAATATTATAGCTATAGCCCATGTGTTATTTCATCTGTATCTTTAAATGTTTACATAATCCACAGAGCTAAAATCATCCTTTATTTGTCTTACAACTGGGGGATTGATTTATATTGGCCAAAAAAACCAAACCCACTGGCATCAAGCCAGTTCCGACTCCTGGTGACCCTGTAGGACAGATTTGAACTGCCCTGTGTGTTTCCAAGGTTGTAAATCTTTACGGAAGCAGACTGCCTCATCTTCCTGCTGTGGAGCGGCTGCTGTACTGAACTGCTGACTTTCTGACCAGCAGCCAGATGCGTTAACTGCTGTGCCACTCAAGGATGTCTTATATATTCTAGATTAAAGGGTAGAGACGCTTTTGCTATGTATCACCAGTTTGCCCTTAGCTATTTTATACCCCTATCCAGAGTATATAACAGTGTTTATTTCCCCAAATGTAGAATTGGATTTTGTAATTTAAAAACAAAGTTAAAAAGAAAAAAAGTTTTCCCCATTTCAGTGACCTTACGATGAACTTTTAAAAATGTTTTTTGACATTTGTACCTCTTTTGACCACATTTTCTAATGTGATTTTCTTGGTTTATTTGTAATGTGATTTCCAACACCATGCTCCCCCCACCCCACCCCACCCCCGGTGTAATGTGATTCTTTATGTGATATGTAGAGGTTTTTTTTTTTTTTTTTTAACACTATGTTAAGGATATTAAGCCTTTGCATATATAGTAATGATAGTAATTACTACTTAATTTTTTTTTTTTTTAAACTGAGTTCCTGCTTTTTCTGATTTAGGCTTGAATTGTCTAAGATCTTAGCCTGGGAGCAGTGTCAGGTAATACAATTGGAGAATTGTAGTCTGTGAACAGTCATCTTAATTTCTTAATTTCTTGGTTTGCTTTCTTGTTTCAGGGCGATGCTGGATCTTTTCTTGTCTGAATGTTATGAGACTTCCATTCATGAAAAAACTAAATATTGAAGAATTTGAGTTTAGTCAGTCTTACATATTTTTCTGGGACAAGGTATGGGATTGATTTTGCAAGATTCTTTTTAATTCAATACCAACCTTGGCAGAGACTCCCTTTTCCTTTCTTGCTTCTCTAGTTATAACTTGTTCTTCTGTTACAGATGGGACAACATTTATTCTGATTTCCAAAGTATCAAAACTTGGCTCTTTTTAAAGGCAGGACTACTTTTGGTTGGTCCTTGGCTACTTTTTATAAGGAAATAGTCTACTTTATTATACTTCACCCTGCTGCTTGCTTTTCTTTTTGTTTTTAATAATTTCCCTTTTCAGTGCCTTTATGTAGGTTATGTGGTCTTCCTAGGACCTAATTCCCCTTGTCTAGGTCGTACTTGTCTGAAAAATAGTAAATATATCCTATTTTTTAAATCTTTAAAATATACTTCAAAAATGAAATGGAATGCATAAAGATTGATATTGTTGTTGTTGTTGTTATGTGCCGTCGAATTGGACCTGACTCATAGCTACCCCTCCTTGGGTTTCCGAGGCAGTATCACCACGGAAGTAGATTGCCCCATCTTCCTTCCGAGGAGTGCCTGGTGGGTTTGAACTGCTAGCCTTCTGGTTAGCAGTCAAGTGCCTTAGGCACTATGCTACCAGAGCTCCTAAAGTATACTTAGTATCCATTAAATGTTTATTGGTTGAAGACTCTGAAGTATCATATTTTGTTTCAAAACAAAGCAGTGCTTTGTTCTGAATGAACTCTTGGAATATATACACAGGCATAAAAAGAAAATTCAAATATTTTCATGAAGCCACAAACTGATACTTGAATACCAACTTTCATTTTTTAAAAATCCCTATTATATTGGGTCCACAATAGTTCTAAGACTCTGTTCGGTTGATACCAATTAGGCTTTTGACTCTCTTTTCTTTTAATTTTACTCAACTTCCCTTATTCTAGGTTGAACGCTGTTATTTCTTCTTGAATGCGTTTGTGGACACAGCCCAGAAAAAGGAGCCTGAGGATGGGAGGCTAGTGCAGTATTTGCTTATGAATCCTGCAAATGATGGTGGACAATGGGATATGCTTGTCAATATTGTTGGTAAGCGCCTTTCTTTAAAGAAACTGAAACTCAGCATGTTCAAGCAAGGCTGTATAGTTAAGTATAAGCCATTTCATTTGTGGTTATGAAGAGAGTAGAGTTGGTCTTCCAGAAGGAGAACTTTTATTTCAACTCTGCTTTTACTCTCACTCTCAACTTTCAAGTATCTTTCTTTCTTTCTTTCTTTTTAATTTTTATTGTGATTTGGGTAAAAGTTTGCAGAGCAAATTAATTTTCCGTACAGCAATTCATACACGTTTTGTTTCATAACATTGACTGCAATTCCCCACAATGTAACAGCTGTCTTCCCACTTCCTCCCTATAGTTACCTCTTCCCTGTATCCTTCTTTCCTGTGCATTCCTGCCCCCTGAAAGCTGTCTCCCTGTGCAATAAGCTCTCTGTTCTCCCTTAATTGATTGTTCTAAGGAGTGTATCTACTTGTTTATATGTCTGTCTATTGTTTGGCTGGAAGCTGTGGGAGGGAGTTCAATTCCAGACTTGAAGGATAACTAGGGTCCATAGTCTTGGGGATCTCACCAGGCTCTATCAGACCAGTACACTTGGTCTATTTTATGATTTTGAGTTTTGTTCCACATTGTTCTCCTGCTCTATCCAGGATCTTCTGTACTGATCCCTTTCTGAGTGATTGACAGTGGTAGCCAGCCACCATCTAGTTCTTCTGGTCTCATGGTAATATAGGCTGAGGTTTGCATGGTCCTCTAGTTCCTTGGACTAATTGTTTCTATGCATCTTTGGTTTTCTTCTAAAGTGTCTTTCTTAAGTCACGGGTAGGCAGATAATGTATTGTGAAGCAGCATTGGAGAAGGAAAGGTAGCATTAGGTAGAACTAACTTTCCATGAAAAAGCTTACTGCTTGTCCATTGATGTAATCAGGAAATATATTGAAACTGCCATAGTCTAAAGATACCTTCATTCAAATAAAGAATTTTTTTGGGGGGTGACTCATGCTGAGCACTTTATAAAATATGATAGATAAAAAGAACAGAATTAATTCTAAGATGGATAAATACAGAGATTAAGTAATCTTTTTAATAATATGAACCATAAATTATGAAATTTTCTGAATTAGACCTCAGACAATGGCTTTTTTTTTTTTTTTTTTTAAGCAATAGCTATTTTTACTAGGGTTTCTAATGCTGGAATGTACTTGAACTTTATTGAACACTAATTTTTTTTTTTTCTTTTAGAAAAATATGGTGTTGTTCCTAAGAAATGTTTCCCTGAATCTTATACAACAGAGGCAACTAGGAGGATGAATGATATTCTAAATCACAAGGTACAGGATATAAAGCAGAGTGGGATTGAATTTAGTGTGCTCATCTTCTTAAAATTCTTATCTGATTTTCCAGAGGAGTTCCTGGGCATTTCATTGTATATGAGATAGCAAGTGATGTTGCTATCTGTCAAAAGTAATGTAGCTGAAACTTACACCTGTTAACTTTTAAAATAATTAGGAAGGTTTTTTCTTTTCTTTTTAAAACTCTTCCACTTATATACCTGGTGATATTAATGCTTTCTTATGTGTACTTGGGAATGAAATTTCCAGTATATTATGACGTGCTCAGTGAATGTAGGCCACAAGCACACTGGGGGCTGTGTCTCTCACTTAGTTCTTGTGGAAGTGGGCTGGGACAGTTTTATATACTAATAAAAACCAACCCATTACCGTCAAGTCAATTCTGAGTCACAGTAACCCTGTAGGACAGAGTAGCACTGCCCCATAGAGTTTCTAAGGCTGTAAATCTTCATGGAAGTAGACTGACAAATCATGGAGTGGCTGGTGGGTTTAAACTGCCGACCTTTTGGTTAGCGGCCAAGCGCTTTACCCACTGTACCTATGTACTAACAAAACCAAAAGAAATTGTTTATGAGACTTGCTGAGTATATTAGAAAAAAGACTTCCTCCAACCACATTCATGTTTATCCACTCAATGAAGCTTTAATATAATCACTGCACTGCTTTTCAATGCTTCATTTATCTCTGTGAATCATTCTTTGATTTCTACATAACTCACTCTCCCAAGGAGGATTATAAATTCCATAGAGTTGCCACTCTGCAATCAGACACCTTTTTTGAGAGCTGGGATTTGCCAGAAGCTACTGTCCTGATCGTTGAGGCTAAAGTGGAATTTGTCATCTCTAGGAGAAAGATTACATTTTTTTAAAAACTATTGGTTTGTTTCCTCAGCCTTAGAATTAGGTTATTTCCACCCATGAAAATCTAGGGATTCTTATCCAAAGGCTAAAAGATCATTAATAGTACAGCGTTAGGTACTATTTTGAGCAGGGACAAAATCCTCTTTAGCACTATAGATAAATTGAGATTTGTCTTGATTTTAGGTATCATGTATTCTTTCAGAATTAAAAGCAACAAAAATGAAAACAATCGTTGTGGCTTGGCATAGTTATCTGACAGAATAAGAGAAGTGAACAACTGGTAAAAATCTAATAAAAATGTCCTTGAGTGACTTAATGACATGATTATCTTAATTAAGTTGCCTGGTTTTTTTTCCCCCCCCAAAGGTGATAGGCATTATGGAAAACCAAGTTGCTGTTGAGTTGATGCCAACTCCTGTTACCTCACCTATGTCCCAGTAGAACTGTGCTTTTTAAGGGTTTGCAGTGGCTGGAGGTGTTTTTTTTGGAATTAGGTTGTCAGGCTTTTTTTTTTCAGAGCACCTCTAAGTTTACTTACACCTCCACCCTTTTGGTTAGCAACCAAGCTTGTTAAAGATTCGTACCACCCAGGAACTCCAGGCATTATGGAATCAGCTGTTTCTCCCGTACTCAGACATATACTGTTACTGAAGGTACTATCAGTTGCTTAACAATGCCTAGTTATCCAGGGAACTGTTCCATGTCTAATATTCTTTGAGAATAATCCATGTCTTTTCTACTCACGGGAAGTATTTTTATCTATGTGTTTACATAGACCTGTTGGAGAAAATCACATTTGTATTTATGAACTTTGCCCTGGATCTTGGCTGAGTTATATAGAACTAGCATTGGCTTATTGGTCTCATTTACAGTTGAATTTAAGTAATACTGGAGTGCTAAATATATTTCTGTCTTAGATGAGAGAATTCTGTATACGACTTCGGAACCTAGTACACAGTGGAGCAACTAAAGGAGAAATCTCGGCCACACAGGACGTCATGATGGAGGAGGTAACAACAATTGTTTGAATTGTGACTCTTCTAATGAACTGTCAGAGTGTTTCCATATATTAAACTGATTGGGAAGCATAGTCATTGCAATAGCTGTTGAATTGAAGTATTCATTTTACAGCTGGAAAAACTGAGGTATAAACTCACTTTGCATTTTATTATGATGGAACTTGTACTTAGATCTTCTAATTGCCACAATGTTTTTGAGAGGTGCTATTGAGTCAATTCCAGCTCATTTAGCAACTCTGTCTATCATAGAATGAACACTGCCACTCCTGCACCATCCTCCAAATCATTGCTGTGTTTGAGCCGATTGTTGTAGTCACTGCATCAGTTCATCTTGTTTAGGGTCTTTTAGGGTCTTTATCTTTTTCACTGATGCTCTACTTTACCAAGCATGATATCCTTCTCTAGGGCCTGGCCCTCTTGATAACAAATCCAAAGTATGTGAGACAAAGTCTTACCATCCTCGCTTCTAAGGAGCATTCTGGCTGTACTTCCTCTAAGACAGATTTGTTCATTATTCTGGCAGTCCATGGTATATTCAGTATCGTTCATCTACACCATAATTCAAAGACATCAATTCTTCTTTGGTCTTTGTTATTTGTTGTCCAGCTTTCATGTGCATATGAGGCAATTGAAAATACCATGGCTTGGGTTAGGCTTAGCTCAGTCTTTGAGGTGACATCTTTGCTTTTTAATACTTTAAAGAAGTCTTGGCAGCTGATTTGGGAGCTCTGGTAGCGTAGTGCCTAAGGCATTTGACTGCTAACGAGAAGGTTGATGGTTCAAACCCACCAGCCACACTTCGGAAGGAAGGTTGGGCAATCTACTTCCGTAGTGATACTGCCTCGGAAACTCAAGGAGGGGTCGCTATGAGTCGGGTCCAGCTCAACGGCAGTGTGTTTGGTTTTGGTTTGGTTGCAGCTGATTTGCCCAATGCAGTACATCGTTTGATTTCTTGACTGCCGCTTCCATGGGCATCGATCACAGATTCAAGTAAAATGAAATCCTTGACAACTTTAATCTTTTCTCTGTTTTTCATGGTGTTATTTATTGATCCAGTGGTGAGGATTTTTGTTTTCTTTACATTGAGGTGTAATCCATGCGAAGACTGTAGTCTTTGACCCTCTTCAGTAAGTGCTTTGAGTCCCCTCCACTATCACCAAGCAAGATTTTGTCTGTCTGCATATCACAGGTTATCAGTGAGTCTTCCTCAAGTCCTGATGCTGGGCTCTTCTTCACATAGTCCAGCTTCTCGGTGTGATTGGCAGCAAATTAAATTAGAAAGCAGAGCTGTGAGGACTCTCAAGTGGATGGTAAAACTTTTTAGCTTTATTCTGTAGGAATAAAGCTGGGAAGCTATTGATGGTTATAGCTATTAAAATAATGTATGTTAAAAGCATTTTAAAACAAATCATTAAACAAACATAATATGATAGTCTTTATTAAAGCAATGAAGACTCTTTCCTACATGATAATCCCCATAATCCAGAATGAATCTGATTAAAACTGACGACATTGCCTTGAGAAAAGAGCAAACATTTCCCTTTTTTAACCACTGGGCCCATTAGCAGGAAACATTGAGCTCTAATAGCCACCATTCAAGATCGTTTCTATGTAATTAAACTCAAAAAACCAAAGTCATTGCCGTGGAGTAAATTCCAACTCATAGCAACCCTGTAAGACAGAGTAGAACTGCCCCATAGGGTTTTCAAGGATGTAAATCTTTACAGAAGCAGACTGCCACATCTTTGTCCCACAGAGTGGTTGATGGCTTTGAACCACCAACCTTTTGGTTAGTAGCCGAGTGCTTTACCACTGAGCCATGGTGGCTCATTTGTGTGTAATTAAAATGGCCTGATTTTTTTCACTGCAGTGGAAACCACTTATGTTTCACACATGTTTCCTTTTAAGTTCTTGAGAGGCAATATAGTGGAATAATTGAGAATATTGACTCTGGAGACAAGAGTTTTCATCTTTTTACTTAACAGCCTTATATCCTTGGACAAGGACCTTAAATTCTCAAGTCTCAGTCAGTTCGTGTGTAACATGTTTAGCCCAATGCTTGACACCTAGCTATTTCTTAAATATTTGTTGAATTGATGAATGCAACAGTTTCATTTTACCAAATGCATTGAAATCTCATATTTAGCTTTTTATTTACTTCTTAAAATGGTTTTAGTGAAGAATGGTATCTTTGTGTAGTAGGAAAAAAAAACAGGCTTTAGAGTCAGACAGACATAGGTTTGAATTCTGGCTCTACCATTTAATGGTTCTGTGAACTTGTTGTTGTTGTTATTTGCCATCGAATTGGCCCCGACTAATAGCGACCCCTCCTTGGGTTTTCGAGGCAGTATCACTACGGAAGTAGGATTGCCCAACCTTCCTTCCAAGGAGTGGCTGAACTTAGAAAGTAACTTAACCTAGGTTTCAGTTTGGGATCTAAAATATAGTCCTCAATGGATTTTTGTGAGGATCACATACACAATTAAACATAAGAATGCAAGCTGTCACGTCTGGCACATACGAGGAGCTCAGTAAATGTTATTTCTCTTCCCTTCCTGCTTTGGAATGATCTCTCTTGCTAATGTCATATCTCCTTCATATTTTACCTTCATTTATGATTAGATGAGGTGTTGGATTGACGATTCTATAAACTGTTAGAGAAAAGAACCCCTGCGTCAGCACCTATTGGCCTTCGATGTTTGCCTTCGTAATCTGTGGATTAATGATATATCTAAGATCCATAGCCTGACCGTGGATTGGTGGAGGATGGCAAGTGACTGATAAGAATTAGGGCTGGAATACTTTATTTGTCTTTCCTTCCCTACCCTCCACCAGGGAGAAATAGGACACCACTTTACCATGGCCTGAGTCAGGATGTTTTACGGGATCATTTACTTAATGACTTTTCTTAAACAGTTGACTACAGAATCTGTGTGGTAGGTTTTTAGGTTTTTACAACCCTCCTTATGACTCCTATTTATTGAACTTGACTCTTTGGTAATGAAGAGTCTAGCTTTGGTTTTAAAGCCACAAATTAGTACCTGTGATTTGCCTGGCCTTATGGGCAAGTTAAAATGGTGACTTAAATGAATAGCCATTAAACTCACATAGCTTTGAATGAAATGTGTTTATGCTAAAGACATTTTTTCTGAGAAAAGAGAAGTGCAGGTTGCTTGATGAAATGATCCCCAAGGCAGATTTGGAAAAGGAATGATTTTCAGTGTTTCTCCTTTCAGCCTTCAGATCTTCAGAGCCTGTTAGGGTTGTTAATACAGTCTCTACCAAAATAAATAAATAAAACAAAACAAAGGCCCCAAACAATATTTGTCGGTGTTGTCATACGGTAAAAATGGCAGGGTCTGGTGTAAATTAAAAGTAAAGAGCTTTTTTTTGAGGGGTATGGCAGTTTGTAAATTGGGAATCATGAAGACCAGAGGAACTAAGTGATCCAAAGGGGAGACAGTTCAAAGTTTATATAAGAAAATACAAGGAAATTGAATAAAATTCAGTTATTGGTTGACAGGTAAATAGTTACGTAATTGAGTGATGGTGCATCTGATTGGTAGGAGGTTACATGTTTCTAAAGACATTTTTGTAGTTACTTGGTAATCTTTTAAATTGATTACAATTTAAACCAATCATGGCTTTAAAACAATCATGAGACCCTCCTTGTATAACTGCAGGGAGGATGTGTAATTCTGAAGTTTGTTTTAAGTAAGCATCTGTTCTGAGAATTCTTTTGGACCTGGCTTCCTAGGCAGCAAACAAAACCTGTATGCAAACGAAATTACATTGTTTTCTAAAATTGTTTACCAAGTAATTTTCTCAGGGTACAGTGGAGAGTTATAGGAAGACAGACAGGCTGTATTCCTGATGCACAGGTCACTTGTGATTCAAGATGCAGTTTTAGGCTCTGACCTTACTTAGCACAGCTGCCATCTCTTGTTGAGAGTCTTAAGTTAATTTGGGGTGTTCTTACTTAGAGCCATTAAAAGGGATAGTTTATGACTGGCTTAGGAAATTGTATAGCATTAGCTCTCAGCTCTTAAAAGCAACATATATGGTGCCTGACCACCACTGTCAACCACTCGGAGGGGGATCTATATAGGAGATCCTGGATGGAGTGGGAGAGGAGTGTGGAACAAAACTCAAAATCATAAAAAAAAAAAAAGGGACCAGGTTTGCTGGTCTAATAGAGGCTTATGGAACTACTGAGACTATGGCCCCTAGCAGCCCTTCAGGTGTGGAACTGAACCCATTCCTATGGCTTCCAGCCAAACAAAAGACAGGCATATGAGGTGAACATTTACATTAGGTAGATACACTCCTTGGAGAGATAAATCATGGCAGAATAGAAGGGCTGTGTATGCACCGGAAGACAGCTCGGGGGATGGGAGGGAAGGACATAGGGAAGAGGTAATTATGGGGAGGAAGTGGGAGGGGAGCTGTTGCGTTGTGGGAAATTTAGGTCAATGTCATGAGACAAAGTGTATGTGAGCTACTGTATGGAAAGTGAATTTGCTCTGTAAACTTTTACCCAAATCACAATAAAAATTTTAAAAAATAAACAAACACAGGCTTAGGCTTGCTCAAAACTGCAAAACCATTTGCCCTAAAAATGGATCCTAGTTAACTATATTTTCATTTTAAAGACTTCTTTGATTTAAAAAATTCTATAATTTCTTGAATAGGTAATGATGCTTGACACATCAAAAACATTAAAAAGTGTATGATGAAAAGTCTTCCTGCCCTGTTTTCTATCCTTCAGTTCCCACTGTCCTCCAAATTGACTCATGGAGACCCATGTGTGTCAGGGTAGAACTGTGCTGCATAGTTTTCAAAGTCTGATTTTTTTCAGAAGTAGATTGCCTGGCCTTTCTTCTGAGGTACCTCTGGGTGCTCAAACTTCCAACTTTTTGGTTAGCAGCCAAGCATGTTAACTGCAACACTAGGGACTCCTGGAGAGGAAACATGGACCAGCTCGTATATGC